AGTGCTTTGTTGAGGGTATTTTCAGAATGTGGTCTCTACCTATGTGTGTCCATAAGGGTGCTGGTAGAGATATTTTTTTGTTTTTAAGACATCAAATTGGATATTTCTTCTCATTTCTGCTGCTTTGTGAAATAAATTAATGAGCACTTGAACCCCCAAGCAGCCACCAACTCACTGAATTGTTCTTCCTCTTAAGCCTTGCTGCTGTCTGCATTTTAACTCTGCCTTTAGCCCTTTCCAGAGTTGTTTTTTGTTATCCTGCAGCATGAATTTGATACAAACACCTCAGTTTGACAGACAAATTTGGGCTTTTGTGACGCAGCTCTGAGAGTGAAAAGGCTCCTTAAACTCTGACCTTTTATTTTCAGTGTGAGACTCGATATGAAGTAGAAACCTCTTCCCCACCACCTCATTTCTGTGGAGCACGTCCCAGTACAGCAGAAACTCTTGAAATACAAAAGAAAATCCTCTTCAAAGGAGAAAGCTTCTCTTGCATGTAAACTTTAAAAGTCAACCCCCCACCTAACACTGGCTTCCATAACTTTCTGTGCAGGCTTAAACAATCTGGAGCAAGATAACATTTTCCCAAACACAGCAAAACATCCATCAGTTATTCCTCATCCATATCCATTGTTCAGTACAAAGATTGTTTGCTCTGCTCCTCTGGGGAAAAGCAATTTTTACTACAAGAACAGCAGCAGAACCTGGGGAAATACCCAGGGATTGTCTGGTATTCCCAGCTCCGGGCACCTGCTGCACATCAGGCAGGGTAAAGCAGCATGAGGAGACATCCCTTGTATCCTCTGTCCATGGGTTTTTGCTACAAAGAGGAAAAGTCCATGGTTCTAACAGTCCTGCTCTGCTTTTTCCTCTGATTTGCAGAGGTGGCCGTAGATTTCTAAGCAGCTCCTGTGAGGGGAGAAAGGAGATTTAGCCTATGGAATATTTACATCAATGCTTTGGCTGGAGAAAAGAGGAAAAGAAGCTATTTTCATAGTATGGAAGAAAAAGGAATTGGGAAACACTTCAAGAGGCTCAATCCACGGTCTTGAGAGTGTGGGGGCCCAGCCCAGCCCTTCCAGAGCCCTTGGCAAACAGGATTTAACAGAAGGGAATGTCATTTTTTGTGGGAGTTATGGAAAAGGCAGCTCAGACTTGCACTTGGAGCTTCCTGCAGCAAATGTGACAGCTCATTTAAAGGTGTCACTTCCAGGGCTGGCCATTTGTAGATTCCAGGAGTTAAGAGACTCTGCTGTATTTGGGATTAAAAAATGTTGGGCTGTGATTTAGGAGAACTCCAGGCTGCAAGGACAGGGCTGAATCCTAAATGCAGTTTGTCCCCTTGGGAATGGCTGGTGACAGCACAGGCTGAGAGAGCTCATCCCTGTGCTTGGATAAAAAAACTCTTTGGGGTAGGGAATGTCCTCCTGTGGTGTGTTTGGATGAAGAGGTTTGGGTGGAGAAGGGGAAAAAGGGATATTAAAGGAGTAGTGAGGCTGCAGAAAATGGTTAGGAACGGCTCCAGCTGAGGCTGGAATAACACAGCAGCTCCAGCTTGGGTGAATAAAACAACCCACAAGCTCAGGGACATTTTCTGGAGCTTTAGAAATTCATGTGCAATGAGGACCTGACTGAAACCAGGAGAGGACAGCTCCAGCAGCTTCCCAAAGCCAAACCTCAGCTCCTTTCCACATCTCCCTAAGGAAACCACCACTTAAGTTGCCACACCTGCTTCTTGGGAAGCCACTCCTCTCCTCTGCAGGAGTTTCCAGCAAATCCCTCTGCTATCGGGTAAAGGAGCTGGAATTCCTGCCCCAGCAGCCCCACTGGGGAGCAGGAGGAAAAGTCTGTGCTGTCCCCCAGCTGTGTGACCCCACTCTGGACTCTTCCCCACCATCCCTTTCCTCCTCCCAGCCCCTCTGCCCCGCAGGGACGAGACCCAAACGCACTTGTAGATGGAGAGCTCCCGATGGAGGCTGGTCCTGAGCTCCTCCAGCTCCTGGTTCTTGCGCTGCTGGAGCTGGACCCCGTTCTTGAGCTCCTTCAGCCTGTCCTCCAGCTCCTCCACCTGCTCCTGGGGGGAGAAAATGAGTGGGTGAGCTGAGGGAGGAGCAGCAGTGCTCCACTCACTTTCCTTCCTGCACAGCCGGGCTGCCCCTGCCCCACCGCCCTCTTTAAAAACCTCTGCAAAAAAAGCTTTGTTTTAATACAAAGGTGGGAATTTGGGCTGGGCTATATTTTGTCCTTAGCTGTCCAAGCTCCTGGCTGCTCGGTTTTGTCCCCTAAACAACTTTGTGTGTGTTTTGAGAAGCTGCCAGAGCTGTATAAATCTGTGAGTCAGAAGGAGATAAATAAAGAATTTGGGAAAAGGACAATGTGAAGGCACACAAGGGATCCAAGGGACCCTGAAAATCCAGGACAAGCCATGGTGCTGGTGCTTCTGATCCCCATCCCAGCAGGGAGGAGCCGTGATGGAAGGGGAATGGCAGTTTCCAGAAACCGCTGCGAGCCGAGAACAGAGAGCGTTGAAAGGGGGGAGATTAATTGTGGAGCCTCTTTGCCAAGTGTGCTCTTGGAGATATTGAATTGCTTTGTCCCTCAGGCCGAGGGGATGCCTGGATCAGCCAGAAATAACCCTCCCAGGAGGCAGCCTGGCCCTGGGGCTGTGGGGACATGGCTGAGACCCTTCCCCACCAGGAGAGGGATTTGAAAGAAAAGCCACCTGTATTTAAAAGTGGCTTTTCCAAGCGTCTTGGCTCAGTGCTGTGCTCGGAGGAGCTGTGGGGAGTGTATGGTGCTCAACAGCATCGCTGAGCTTTGGGAGGGAAATCCCCATCCCTTCCACCTCATCCCTGCAGCCATTTCTGAGGGGCCAAAACCAAGTGAATATATCCAGGAGAAAGCAGTTTTCCAAGCTGGGTGAAGCCCCAAGCTTCCCCACCACAGGTTTGCCCTAAGCCTGCTGTTTCACCTGGCCCGTGCCAGGGTGGGGGATGATTTTGATTCCAACCAGATGTTCCACATCCTCCCCATCCTCATCCACCCCGCTCCTTCCCTGGGCCCTACAAGCAAATCCTGCAGCATCCTCATTTCCCTGGATGCAAAGCTCGACTCCCATCCTCAGAAAAGGATGGAGCAGTGTCCTTTGGGGCACATACCCGGTACTGCCCGACCTCCTCATCCCTTTTTTGCTTGACCAGGACAATCTGCTCCTCCAGGCTGCGGTTCTGCAGCCTCAGCCGGCTGACCTCGCCCTGCAAGGGCCTCAGGGCTTCCTTCATGCCCTGGATCTCTCCCTGCATCTCCTGCAGCGCCTTGGCCCCGGCCTCGCGCCGCTCCAGCAGCCGCAGCAGCTGGGGCTCGTAGTGCTCCTCCAGCCCCCGCCGGCTCTCTGCCACGAAGCTCTCGAACTCCACGGAAAGCCGGCGGCTCTCCTGGAGGTACAGGTTGTCCTGCCGGCAGGGTGGAGCCTCCAGGCGCTGCCTCAGGACTTCCTTCTCCTTCTCGCAGGTCTCCTTCAGCTGGGACAGCTCCCCCGAGAGCTGCCCGGCCTGGCTCTCCAGCTCGCCCTGGTAGACGGCGTGCTGGGAGAGGTCGTGCCGGCGGCTCTCCAGCTGGTACTGACAGGCCACGCATTCCTTGGTCACCTTGAAGAGTTTCTGCTTGATCTGCCGAATCTCATCCCGCAGGTTGTCCCTCTCCAGCTCCACCTTGGCCAGCAGCCTGCAGGCTGCCTGGATCTCCTCGTGGGCATGGCGGATCTCCTGCAGCGCCGGCTCGCGGAGCTGGGCCAGCTCGGCGATCAGGCTGTCCCTCTCCCTCTCCAGCTGTTCCACGATCTCAATGCACTCCTGGAAATAATTCCCCAGCTCTTCCAGGGTCAGGCACTGGTGCTCTGTGGCATTGGCATCCAGAGGGCCGCCTGCTCCCTCTGTGTCCATATCCAGCGGGATCCCTGCCCCATCTGCATTGTCTGGGATCCCTGCCCTGTCTGTGTCCATGGCCAGTGGGATCCCTGTCCCACCTTCATCCACGTCCAGCGGGACTCCTGCTGCACCCACATCTGCTGGGATCCCTGTCCCACGTGCATCCACCTCCAGTGGAATCTCTACTCCATCTGCATCCATGTCCAGTGGGATCCCTGTCCCACCTGCATCCACATCCAGTGGGACTCCTGCCCCATCCGCATCCAGTGGGACTCCTGCCCCATCCTCATCCAGCTGGGTCCTTGGTGTGTTTATCTCCAAGCAAGGATCCCTGCTGGCATCCTGCAGATCCCGGCTGGAGTCTGGGCTGCTCCTGTGCAGTGGTTTAGATCTGTTCCCCACTGGCTCCGATGGGGTGTGACATTTTTCTGGGTGTGGAGCAGCTCCTTCAGCTGCTCCCTGTGGGGCTGGGGATGCTCCGGCTTCATCCAGCTGCAGCTCTGGAGGGGGCTCAGGCTGTGCCATCAGGTCCCTGGGAAGGAGAGGGGATGTGAACCAGAGCAATGAGTGTAACAGGACCTTTCCTCCCCACCCAGTGAGACCCCAGAGCCAGGGGAGTCCTGCTATGGCCCTGCTGCTGTGACCACCCCCATGTCACCCACAGGGCTGGGCTCAACCCTCTGGGGACAACCTGGGTCCAGACTGTCCGAAATAAAGAAAGAAAACCCTATTAAAACCCTATTAAAGTATCTGACTGCCATGGAGGAAGAGTGAGGTATGCAAACCCAGACCCCAAACCCAAGAGCTGCTCCGGTTGTTAGGGCCAACCTCCCCAGTGGCACCGACCTGACCCGTGCGAGCACTCCCTGGAAAACTTGCCGGGATTTTAGCGGTGTGGCATAACCTCACGACAAGGGAATGCACGGCTGGAAGCACAGGCAGGCTCCGGGATGACTGAGACGGAGCGAACCTCACACGCAGAGCCCCGGGCAAGCGGCAGCGTCTGCAGCAGGAGCCGGCGAGCTCCGAGCTTTGCAGAGTCATTCGATCCCGGCATTGTCCCCAGCCACGGCACCTGCAGCTGCCACCACCAAACCCTCGCTCTCGCATTCTCCCGGCTGCTCTTTGAGGTAGGATGGAGAACACAACGCTGGGGGACGAGCCGGGGTTTTTGCTGCTGCTGCGAGGAGCCGGTGGGATCGGTGGGAGGATGCTCTCACCTCTCGGCCACGCCGCTGAGCTCATGTCTAGTCATTCCCTAAGCAATGAGCACAGGCTGGCACTCACAGGCAGCCCTGGGCTGGGAGCAGCGGCTTTGAGCAAAGAACTGATTTTCCCCGATACTTTCTCTCCTAATAAGGCAGTTTTCGGCACTGCTGACACGTCGCAGCCTCGGACTCAACGGCCGGCGGCAGGAGAAGGGGCAGCCCCTGGAAAGGTGGGAAAAGGGCCCCTCTGCCCCTTTTTTCCTTGCCCTCCCCGCTGCCAGTGCTTGTTTTTCAAAGTTCTTGGATCCGCTTTGCACGGGCAGGACGGGAGGGCGCCGTCCTGCCCTCCCAGCGGAGCGGGGGGGCTCTCCCACCCACCACCCCTCATCCCAGCGCCCCCCAGAAGTCTTGAGTGTCCCAGAGGGACCTTCCCCCACCTTCCTGATCATTCCTGAGGAATCCTGAACCTCAGATCCCCCCCCACCCCATCCCTGCCCCCTCTCCTGCTCCACGAGCCCACCTCACCGAGGATCCCGCACCCACGGGACCCCCCCGGAGGACCCCGGCCACCTCCTGCTCAGCCCTGCTGGCCCGGGTGGGCTCTTACCTTCGTCCCCTGGAGCCCAGCGCTGCCGGCTCTGCGCTGCACATGGGCTTAGCATGGGGCGGAGAGGGGTTATTAATAAACAGGGCTGGAAATCAGACTCTCCGGAGCAGCCGCTTCCCCCGGCCACCGCCTGCAGTGCCAGCTGCGGGCGCTGCCTTCCTCCGCCCCGGGGAGGAGGAGGAGGAGGAGGAGGGCGGGGAAGGCCCGGCTGTCTGCATCCCTGGCAGAGGCAGCCGCAGGGACAGGCTGCAGCCAGCCCGCATCCCCGGGGAGCAGCCCTGGCAGCCCCCATCCCGCCCCGGCTGTTCCCAGCCCTGATTTATGGGCGAGCTTGGTTTTGCGGCCCCTTCCCCTGCCACTGGTGGCTCCTTCCCTGGATCCGCAGGTGCCACTGGTGGCTCCTTCCCTGGATCTGCAGGTGCCCATCCCACCGAGGTCCCGGTCAGGGCTGGGATGGGGTTAATGGGGTGCCTCGGTGGGGCTGGGCTGTGCTGGGAGGGGAAACGCCAGAGGATGCAGCTCGTGGTCCCCAAATACCACTGGTTCATCCCGAGGATGGAATGGGATTTGTGAGGGTGCTGGCAGCACAGTGCTGCTCTCCCCGGGTATCGATTATCGACGGATTAAATACCAATATCTCGGGGTCCTTTCTACGCCCCACAAACCCCAGAAATGGCAGAGCACAGCCTCTGCTTCCTCTTCCGCCCATAACCAATCCCTGCCACCCTGTTCTCTCTGTTTTGGGGGTGGGGAAGGTGGCGTTTCTCTCTGCAAAGCCCCGTGGTGGTCACGGTCACACTCCTGGGTGTCCAACAGCGACACTGCCCTCACCCACTTGGTTTCCCACCTCTGTCCACCCGCGGCTCGTCCCTCCCATGGTGCCCATCCGCATTCTCCCCACTCCGTGGATCCCAAACCCACATTTTGTCCGTCATACCACCAACAAATATTTATACAAAATTCCAATTTTAGCTATATTTTTCCACTTGGGCATGGGTGCACCATCCCGGGGTGATGCCCCCCGAGCCTACCTCTGCCTGCTCTGGCTCCTGCCGTGCTCAGGAAGTCGGCACTCGCCTCTAAGGAAGTCTCTGGTTTACGTGCCCCAAAAGCACCCAGCAGCGCACACCACAGCCTGCGACATCGCCCGCTGCCACCCCGTCACTGTCACCGCCACCTTGCCCATGGCTCGCTGGCCACGGGGTTGCAGAAATCAAGATTAAAATAACAGCTCTGGTCCATCCTTCGGGAACAGAGCTTTAAAAGGAAAAGGGAGATTTGAGTGGGGTTTTTTTTCTCTTTTTTTGGATCCCGTTGCTTTTTTTTCAGCGCGACACACCTTCTTTTTCTCTCTCTTTTTCCATGAAGCGCCTCTATTTTTGACTCAATCGGAGAGGAATGCTATTAATTCGCACAAGTTGGGTGTATAAATATCTATCTAGAGCTGCAACTGCCAAGGGGAGAAACCTACGGATGGCACGGGCTGGGTCCAACAACCTTTGTAGGGCCTGGAGGGGACAATGCCAGCGGGCCGGGGTTTATCTGAGGAGCTGCCAAGGGCAGGGTGGGGAGTGAGGAGGTTCAGCTGTTCACCGCTCCGTAAGCGGATACCCCGGCCCAGGCCCCGGCACGGGGATGTTTTGTGGATATAACCAGGCAACAGCCGGCTCCGGTGTCCCCCGGCCGGCCGCGGGCACGGCTGGGGCCGGGCGGTGCGGGGAGACACCGCCGGCAGCGAACAACGTGGACTTTGCTCCGGTAAACAGAGCTGGAGGGGTGTTACCGGCGCTGCCAGCAGCGGGGAAAAAAGCAGGAGAGAGCTGGAGAGTTGGGGATCCGGCTGTTGGAGATTCGGCTGAGAGGGGTGGTGGGCAGCAGAGAGCAGCTGTGGGGGGCTTCACCTCCTCTCTGCTGCCCTGGGGCTCCTGTGTCTCCTTTCCCGGTGGATTTTCCTTCCCGTCACTCATGGCAGATCTGTCCCAAGGGCACTGCCATCAGCCCGGCACTGCCACCAGCCTGACACTGCCACCAGCTTGGCACTG